CCCTGTTCTTGTACTGAACCCTGTTATTGTACTTTACCCTGTTCTTGTACTGAACCCTGTTCTTGTACTGTACCCTGTTCTTTTACCGTACCCTGTTCTTATACTGTACCCTGTTCTTGTACTGTACCCTGTTCTTGTACTGTATCCTGTTCTTTTATTGTACCCTGTTCTTGTACCGTACCCAATTCTTGTACAGTAAACTATTCGTTTACTGTACCCTGTTCTTGTACCGTACCCTTTTCTTGTACTGTGCCCTGTTCTTGTACCGAACCCTGCTCTATAACTGTTCTCTGCTCTTTAACTGTACCCTATTCTTTTATTGTACCTTGATGTTGTACTGTACCTTGTTCTTGTACTGTACATTGTTCTTGTACCGAACCCTGTTTTTATACTATACCCTGCTCTATAACTATACCCTGCTTTAAAACTGTATCCTGCTCTATAACTGCTCTTTAACTGTTCTACCTTGTTCTTGTACTGTACCCTGTACTTTTATTGTATCCTGTTCTTGTAATTTACCCTGTTCTTGCACCGTGCTCTGTGCTTTTTCCGTACCATGTTCCCAAACATACCCTGTTCTTTTACCGTACTAGATTCCTGTAACGTACCCTGTTCTTTAACGTACTATATTTCTGTAACGTACTCTGTCCTTGTAATGTACCATGTACCGTATCCATAGCAATTTTAGCACTGTACCCATTTTTAGTACCGTACCGAGTTTAATTTAATTTTGAAAAATAATCTGCTATCGTTTAAATTTTATTTGTTCATAACAAAATTTTCTTTTGTATTTTTTGGGTATAAATATAAAGTACTAAACATCACACTCCAGATGATTTTGTGTTTCCGCAGTTTAAAACTTGCTTTAATTCAATTCAAATTTATTCACCACTTACCGCTTGGAATGGAATAGATTTTCACTGTATGTTAAGGCAGTAAATAATTATGTTTATCCTAAAGTGACAACCAAAAAGGTTTGGAATAGGAATGAGGACAAAACATAGCAATGCTTAACCCTATAAAGGCGTCTGAATCTATGTATAATAAGCGTTAGACCTTAGAGTATAAGAGGCTTAGGGTTGCAATGCATGTTCATAGCCTAGCTCATAGGAGGAACAAATTTGACCACTGATATGTATGGTTTTGGTGCTAGGGAGGGTTTAAAAAAATGTCCATAGAAAGGTCGGAAAAATGTAAAAAAAGGTTGTTTTTGTTTTTGACAGATATTAATATCCATTTTTCAAGTAGATTTAAGAACACAAAAGTTCATCCTAAAGTTCATTCTAAAGTGACAACCAAAAAGGTTTGATGAATGAGGACTATACATAGCAATACCGTATACTGGGCGCCTGAATATATGTATAGCGTTAGACCTTAGAGTATAAGAGGCTTAATTCTTTATATTCGGCCTCAATTCATTGAAAAGATAAAAGTCTTTCAAACCGACAAATCTAAATCACAGTGTTAATTTCTTCGTCCTTATCTTGTTTTGTTTGCTCAGATTCTACTTGGAGTTGGAGTTTAGATGCAAGCTCTTTAATTACATGAATACACATTGCTCTAGCTCTACAGGGAGTCCCATATAATAATGGATTAAATTCTCTATTTTTGCATTATTTAGGGTTGAATTCTATCGATGCAAAGGGTGTCCCATATCATATTGGATTGCATTCTCTAGTTGTACAGGGTGTCCCACATTATATTGGATTGAATTCTCTAGCTGTACAGGGTGTCCCATATTATATTGGATTGAATTCTCTAGCTGTACAGGGTGTCCCACATTATATTAAATTTAATTCTAGCTGTACAGGGTGTTCAACATTATATTGGATTAAAATATCAAGCTGTACAAGGTATCCCACATTATTAAGTATTGAATTCTCTAGCTATGCAGGGTGTCTCACATTATATAGGATAAAATTATTTAGCTTACAGGAAGTCCCACATTATACAGAATTAAATTATCTAGCACTACAGGGTGTCCCACATTATATTGGGTTGAAATCTCTACCTGTACAAGGTGTCCCACATTATATTGGATAAAATTCTCTAGTTGTACAGGGTGTCCCACATCGTATTGGGTATAAATTGTAGACTAGAAACGAGGATAAACTGTACACCTAGTATATAAACTGTAGACTAGAAACTAGGATTAACTGTTCACCCAGTGTATAAACTGTAAACTAGAAACTAGGATAAACTGCACACCCTGTATATAAACTGTAAACTAGAAACTAGGATTAACTGTACACCAAGTATATAAACTGTAAACTAGAAACTAGGAATAACTGTACACCCAGTATATGAACTGTAAACTAGAAACTAGGATTGACTGTACAATGTTCACCCTGCATATAAACTGTAAACTAGAAACTAGGATTAACTGTACACCCTGTATATAAACTGTAAACTAGAAACTAGGATTAACTAAACAAACATTAAAGTTAGTTCTCTGCAGAACAATGTATTCTCAAACTAATTGTTGGAATTTACAAAATAACTTTTATCTTGTTTAATGAGCAATAAGTTTTTCAGCTCGTTGAGAAGAAAGATAATTCTAGATTATAATATTCCCAAATTTTGGCTTAGTAAATTACAGGTATGGAGGAGAAAAAAATGAATCCTGTGAAAGAGATGTACATTATCTCTGTTTTTATGAGCGATTTTATACGTGCATGTCCGACTCACAACGGTGGCCATGAAACATTTATCTGATCAATGATATGGATGAAAATCAAGCTCTCTTCTTAAGATGTGTAATAACCTGTCTCTTGACTTAAAAAGAAGCAACTCTCTAAGTATATTTAAAAATAGACTACTAAATTCACTTTTTGAAAATTATAGGACAATGTGTTATAAACCGAATTGCTATTCATGTAAAACTAATTAGATATGTTTTAATATGCTTTGATATTTGTTGTGTACATGTCAGAAAATTACTTTAAACTCTAGTTATTCGAATTAGTGTATAAACTATTTTGCATATGATAAATTTGCAACCTGATCTCTAATCGTTCTCCTTAAATCTATTTAATTGAAATATTTTGTTATTATTACTAAAATTAGGTGGGAAAAATAATCAAAACAGACAACTCTTTTAAATCATACATGCTACTCTATAAACCAAGCTAGTGGGGAAGGTAAACAGGTTTATGATAGGCCGGATACTGTAAAAAGTAAGGCCGCACAATCAAATTTGAAACCGGCCTGATATTGGTTAGTGGCGGGGCTGTACTTGCCGTGCGGTACTAGAGGTCGGTCCGTTTCGATTTCAAACTGACTCTAGTCAACTGTGTGTTTGTGACAAAATAAATATCGTCTTTCATCCACACGTCATCGAGGACAAATTCTAGTTAGTCTCTTGAATTCCAAAATGTGTTCTGTCGTTTTTGATCCTTAAAATCGACAGAGAAACAAAAAAACTGAGCACTTACTATAGTTCCCTAAACATTTTATCTCTGCAACGTACCTGTTGTCATAGACCTTTGATATTTCATACTATGTATGCTAATTCAACCCCCCCTCTCTAATATCTCTAATATCTCAAATATTTGAAATTTTTCAAAATTGTCAAAATTTTCAAAATTGTCAAATATTTCAATCATCTATAAAGCTTTACATTATTCACCCTCAACTAGCTTTAGGTGCGTTCTGCAGTAATTTGCTGTACACTGACCAAGGCAAGTGTTTGAATATATACAAAATAAATACGGTAAAAATTCTGATATCTCAATCAATTGTTCAAAAATTTTTAAAAAGCAACGTAAAATCTCTTTTTTTTATTACAGTTTTTGTCATTTCTGTTTTTATCTTACAGGGACTGTAAAGTAAACTGCAGGTCCGAATGACAATGCTACTCTTGAGTCTTGACAACTTTGTCTGTTTTTCATCATATATTATAAACGGTTAAAGACCGGGTACGCACGATTGAGAATTGTGAATTGGACATGTTCCTCTGTAAAGGAGGCTGACGTATTGTCCCTTTAAAGGGTAAACAATTCTCTGGACAATAATATGCATTTGTCTGTCCAAGCTGATTCTGTTTTTAAAAGCTTTGTTCAAAGCTTTCATCCATTATTTATATAAAACTTTTCTTAAAATCCTTCGGGATGCAGGGGAGGCCGGAGGGGGAGGGGGTATTGTTTTTGTCCATTAAAAGTTTGTTTTTTTGCGCTTAAAAAAGGGGCTGTTTAATTTTTTAACAAAGGGTTAATGGGTCAATTGTTAAATGAAGAGAGGAATTAATTAAAAATCTGGACTTTGAAAGTATTGATAATGTATATTGATAATAATTTGTTAAATTTTTTTAATTTAAACTTTTAAAATGATGAAAGCAAATTGTAAAAATCATCTTTATTTCTTTAAAACTCTATATATAGATATTTTCTTAACGAACAATTATGGTCAAATAGTTTTGTTGTCCTTCAGTTACATAAGTATAACATTGTTTACAGTACACACTGTACTGTACGATACAACGTGTACTTTACACGCGCTGTACTGAACATTTCAAACCACACAGTAAAGTCATAGATTAATTAAAATAATAGATAGGACACTATTTGTTGTCTATTAAATATTTACGTGTGTTTCGTTAACAATAACTCTGAGGCAGAAGCCCAAAGGAGTTACGCGTAATCGGCATAGAACCTCTGTGTAGAATTACAAGATATATTGAGAGAGAGACAGTTCTACGCCGACTGGCGTAACTCCTTTAGGCTTCTGCTTCAGAATTATTGTAAACGGAAAACACATAAATCTTTAAAAGCTAGTGTCCTTTCTGTTAATTAAATTAATCTATAAGAAAAGTGAACTCTGATTCGGACATTAAAGAAGTATCGATGAATGAAACTCTCGAGTTTATTTTTTGGGGTCTATGCATTTGCGTAGATTTTAATTTAAGAAACCAGGAAACAAAAAGAGAAATTTAATCTAATTTGAGAATTTAATATTTTTTAACAACAACATTGATATCTACAAAACTTCCAGACCCCATTCATGAAACCGGGTTTCTGATACTGGGTTTCATTATGATACTCTGTTTTAAGTTTCGGGCTCTGTGCTGTACTGTACACTTTTAACAAAAAGGTACAAGCTTTAAATTACAGTATACACTGCAATACCTAACTGTAAAGAACATTGTTTTAAAGTATACATATGCTGCACAGAACATTATTAACAGTACAGTACACTGTTCTGGGAAGAACAGTACACTCTGTACAGTACAGTACACTGTTCTGTGAAGAACAGTACACTCTGTACAGTAAAGTACACTGTTCTGTGAAGTACAGCGTACTCTGTACAGTACAGTACACAGTGTTCTCTACTGTACAGAGTGCAGTGCACTCTGTGCAGTAGAGTACATGTAATGCTGTACAGTACAGTTACATAAATAACACTGTGAAGATGAAAAACAGGCTGAATCCAGCAGAGTACACTTTGAACCCTTGATTTCCATTCTGCCAGGGCTGGGACAAATCTAAATAAAAAAATTTTATCTTTTTTTAAGAATTTATTTTTAATTTGAATTTTGTTTTAACAAAATTTAAAAAGAGCAGTGTATTTTTACTCCGACCGTTTTTTTTCATCTGGTCATATATCTGTTTTTTGCTCTTCTTTTTCAGATCTATGGATTCTAATCTCTTGTAGACAAGGGAAAAATGCATTTTGAAACATATTTCTGATTCATAATATAACTTAATTTGATATCTTGATGCCAGAAATATCAAATTAAGTATAATCGAAAGTTACTGTTTGCAAGGAGTAGATTTTCAGATAAATTGTCAGTTTTTCATATTGTTTTCTCATCTATTCAATGTCTGACTCAGAAAGCTAGTGTTAAAGGTTAGCTTTAAACTCAATTTCCTCGTTATTCTTGCAGGTTGAATAAAAAGTCACTGCACCAAGCGTTTTTTCCAAGTAGGGTGTACTGCCATGTTATTCCACACAGGGTTATGTTCAGCCACAAAAACTGGAGAGAGTTGTATAAGAACCTGACTATTCTGAGCTCCCTTGATGCTTATGCTTATATAGAGGGTGTTTACGGGGGATATACTCCTGGCTAAAGTTTCTCTAGTTCGCCATTTTCTCTCTCTCACCCTGTATCCCTGAATACTTTTAGAAGCGCCGAGCCAGAGCCAGTTGTTGCTGCTCTGAAAGCTAGATGTACACTGTCTTTTTTTAATAATTTTGTTTTCTGGTTAGGAAAGAGGCAGTTCACTCCCTTTTGTATGTTTTTAAACACTACTTAAACGCTTGAACTATGAAACACTAAATTCATAGGACAAAACCTCCTAAGCACTCCCAACCTTAATTAGACAAAAATAGCCATACTAAGTTAATAATGTGTTTAACTGGTTAAAAACCAAATACTGTATAATTTTATAAAAAATTTTAACCGATAAAACAGGATTGCAAAAAGAAATTTTGTAGCTCTCGAAATTTATTTTGTGATTTTTATTTTCTTAATTCTCAAAATCACTGATCTCAAAGTTCTCTTTGATATAACTTTTTATGAAAAAAAGAAAACAAAGTATATGAAACTTATGAAACTTATGAAACTAATTATGGACTAGAGTGAGAACCAGAAACTTTGGAATAGGAAGACGACACTAAAGCATCACTTAAGTGTATTTGATTTTGCCATAAAGCAAAAAATTTTACTAGTAACTTATTATTATTATTGAGTGAAATGGGTCTGTTTACACTTCACAATTACTTTGTCTCATGTTCATTGGACTATTTAATGTCATAACTAAAGTCTAAAAGTCGTCTTTCTCTTCCCCAGATTTATAGTTCTCACTGTAAAACTGTTGATCCACCCCTTGGTCTGAAAAGAACCATCCAACTCTCTTTCGTTGCATAAAATGCAAAATGCACATGCTTTGCATTTAAACCGGAATTCTATCTGGCCTTTAAACCAAACAAATGTATCTTGATGCATTTGACAAAAAAAAAGTTCTTAAAAAACCAAAAATGATATTCTTTTTATGCATTAATAATCAGTATTTTAATTTAAAAAATAAAAAGTTTAGTAATTTTATCTTTATTGAGATTATAAATAAAGGTTTGGTCTGTGTTAGAGGGCCTGTAAAGGGTTTGGTCTGAGTTAGAGGGCCTGCAAAGGGTTTGGTCTGAGTTAGAGGGCCTGCAAAGGGTTTAGTCTGAGTTAGAGGGCCTGTAAAGGGTTTGGTTTGAGTTAGAGGGCCTGTAAAGGGTTTGGTCTGAGTTAGAGGGCCTGTAAAGGGTTTGGTCTGAGTTAGAGGGCCTGTAAAGGGTTTGGTCTGAGTTAGAGGGCCTGTAAAGGGTGTGTCAAGATCAAAAAAGTTCTTTTAGATCTTTAAATACTATAATATGTATTTCTTAAACTTATTCGTCTAAATTGTAAACCTGTCCTATAAGTCAACCTAAAACCTCTTTTAAGTGCATTCTCTCAGAATATATTTATTTTATCCCAAAATATTAAATTTCTTCGTCGAATGAAAGAATTGCAGATTTCTTTGTAAATCCAGGATATCTATAACTGGGCGCAGTCAGACATTTTTCATCTTAAAACGAAGAACAGTGGTCCCCCCCCCCCATTTGAAAAT